TGAAATGTACAATGTAGAAACCGTTTCATGAGTGATTCATTATATGCTACTTTTCAAAATGCACTATCTTTTTCAAAAATAAAAATTGTCTAGACAGGTCATCTTTATTTTCATGTCTCTTTTTAGTCATAAAAAAAAAAAAAAAAAGAAAAAACGCATTTTTATTGCTTTTGGGACAGAACTGTTGGAGGAGATGGTGGAGGATATGGGGAGCAGCCATGTGAGCACAGTTCCCGGTGGTGTTTGGGGGAGTGTGGGAAGTTTGAATGGGAATTACTGGGAATTGAAGGGGTGAGATCAAGGGCAGTCAAAACATTGGGAATCCCAACTGATGATATTCCTTCCTGACTTACTGTTAAATACAAGGTTAGTTTATATTTAGGAGGTCACTTTTGTTGAAAGAGATGGGCATGGGAGTTAGTGTGTGTGTGTGTGTGTTTTGTGGGGCATGTAACACATAACCCTTTCCTGTCAGAAGTTTTTAAGGCACCAACCCCAATCATGCTGCTTTCTCCTCCATCTTTCTGTGCTCTTCCCCCCTCTCATTATTTCCCATTGTTATTTCCTAGCTACCGTAATAACATACATACATACATGTACATGTACATATACACATACATATATATGTCATGTATATTGCAGTTGTATAAAGAATATAAATACTTGTGTTTAGTGTGTTTAGCGAGTCTAACCTCTTGTCTCTATTTCTTTATCTTATAATTAGCTATCTCTCCACTACTAATTATCCGTCATATCACTTTAAATTTAAAACACTTAAACTAAGGTATCAAAATTTAATTAAATAGACAGTTAATGAGACAAAATGAGGCAACTAAAATCTGGACTAGAAACATATTCATAGAAATGTGTTACACATATGTATGTACAAGACTTCTTTTTTTTCCAATTAATCCATATGAGTCTTTCACTATCAGTATATATTGTGAATACCGTACAGTATTATTCCATATGTATAATTTATATGTATGTTGATAAATATTGTTCAAGGGTCTCCAAAGATAGCGATAATTCACGTTAAATTAAACTCGAGGACTTGTAACGTAAACATATCTTCCAGACTCGTTACTTTCAAAGAAAAAGCTTTAATTTGCTAGCTAGCTTTCAATAATATGGCTTCATTATATCAATTGAAGAAAAAAAGAAATTAAGAAAAAGCAACCCCAGGCATAACAAGGAAATCATACGTTTTGGTGAATGTCGGTACTAAACAAATTGGGAGAGAGAGTGTGAGTATGTAGGTAAACATCACGAAATAATTTCGAATATATTGCTTGGTTGTTAAGCGTCTCAATCTTCAGGTATGCTAAGGAGTGACGTGTTTGCCTGCTGGCTCTGCCAAATTGTTTAAAGCATCCATGACCATTATTTTTGAAACCCATATATATATATATATTATATCTACATAATATTATTGCTATATTATATATTTTGCTATAATTGTTTCTGTTCGCTGGGCTGACCTTTTTGGTATGCATGCATGCATTGTTATTTGTTGCCCTAGGGGTCCTCTAATTTCTCTCTGTCCTTCCCCATGTGGTTTCCTTAATTAAAGAACCAACCAACAACATATATGCCTATGAATATCCTAATTCTAATCAACATATATTGCCCTAGGGATACGTATATCCCTTGTTTATAATTATCATTAATGAAGAATATATATATATATATGTATATATGATATAGATTGTATGCGCGTGTGTGACGATTGATCAAGAAATATAGTCCATATTGTTATCATATAATGGTGTTGCATCCATAAAATATCAATCAAGACAATCCTAAAAATTTAACATATAAAAAAAATACATACGCATGCCCAATTATAATATATGTTACTATGATGTCTATGAGAACCGATTGTAAGTCTCTCTACTCTCAGTTCTTATCTATCCGTCTGCTTTTTAAAAAAGTAAACTCATACAGTGTTAAAATGGTACTATATATATTCTGATCAGTCACTAAATAGTTAGCGCAGACTAAATGTGGGTCCCACACAGATCCTATAATTTGACCTATATATACACTAATCATGCAATAATAATGAGCACATTTGTTTAGATCTCATGCATGGGTGGACTTGTACCCTTGCATGATGATCAATAACAATAACTCAATCTTTTAACACAACTAGGTAGCTTGCTTCTTTATGCGAAGTCAAAAGATGAAAAAAGAATAAGAGGCGCGTGTATAGGGTGGCTTTTTTCTATACTTTAGGGGACGATGTTCCCCTTCCCCTGACCCTGTAAAGTGCTTTCTAACCGATCCCGCCGTTGCTAACAAACGACCAAGCTAGCTTTTTGAAGTTGAAGGTCATGCATATATATAGATATACAAATATAGATATACACCAAAGCATGGCCTTCTTTTCTAATTTCTTTGCGTGGGCCTTGCAATCCCAGTCCATGCTAATCACTAAGGATTTGTTTGGTAGATGGATCCAGAATCATGATTCTGGATCCTAGTTCAAAATCAGTATTTGTTTACAGTTATTCTAAATCAGTGTTTGGTTTGCATGATTCAGAATCTGATGTGATGTTTTAAACCATAATTACTCATGATTCTAAAACCACCACCCCCCTCTTGATTCAAGGTGATTCAAACTCTTGATTCTGAATCACGATTATGGTTTCAGAATCATGATTAGAATCACTCTGATTTGAATTCTCGTACTAAACGAACCCTAACTTCCCCGATGTTATATTTTTTCAACTTTAGAGAATATAACTGACTTCTCCCTGGACCCCACAACAATATATATTGTGATGTTGCGTCGTGATATAATTCGTTTGACAGATCAATAATCAAATGATCTACGATTTATCTTTGCTACGATCTATCCGAATTCCCAACAGTTGACAACTCAGATGCCTTTTTATTTTCATATATTTGGGAATTTGGAATATGACACTGCAAATTGATCTAATGATTAATCATATACGCTTACAAACTATATATAAACTGAGTTGCTTCTTCTCAATGTGGAATTTTTTTTTTGAAAGCTTTTCAATGTGGAAAATTTACCTCCAGAAATAAAATAATATTGAATATATTGGTGTGTTAATTCTGATGATCATCAACTTCAATTTGCTTGAGCTTCAGCAACATGCAAATGAAAGTCATCTCCAATTAGAAATAACGTGGGGAAAAATTCTATTATATGGAGTGAAAATTTTTGGCATCAATGGCGCTAGATAGTCGTAATTATAAAATTGATATGTAAAATGTGAAGTTTACAGATATAATATAATAGATAGTAGGGCAAAATTATTGATGTTTTTTTTTTAAATCTTAAATCATCAATTTTTTTGTTTTTTTTGAAACAAAATCATCAATGTTTATGTGAGAGAAAATAAACTTGCGAACCTAAACCATCGGAGTTGCATAATAGAACTACCATAAAAGTTCAATATTAGTATCTTAAAATTAGACCCTAGCACAACAAGATGACCATACCCCAAAGTGTAGACAATTGACAAGAAAAATATTTGTGGTTCGTTATACATCGTTAAAATAAGTTAAATTAACATAAAAAAAAAACTTCAAAACTAATTTTTCTACGAGAAAAAAAATATATTTAGAATAAAAGTGATGGTAATGTATTAAATTTTCCCAATAAAAAATATTAAATTGCCCCGCTAATAGAGAAAACTATTAATAGGAATGCGCCCTCAACTCAAGACCGACATCATTGATTCAATCATTAATTTTTTTAGAGCTAATTTAGTCGTTAATTTTACTATGACTTTTGTTACATATAACAGAAAATGGGAATACGTTTCTGCCATTTATGAGCATGGAAAAGTCTAGCTTTTGTATTTAAGCAATGAAACAGGATATTAACGGTGGAGACCACATTTTATTAATAATAGTGCTTAATATTAATAGTATTTTTAAATATTTTTATTTATATTTTTTAATGTTGACACCCTATTAAACCAAACGTCTGAAACAGAAATTTCTTAATCCAAAAACGAAAAAAAAAAATTATAAGTCTAGTTAGTGACTCACGACGTGATCAAAGACAATAACCTTTTCATTTGGAAAATTAGGCAAAAATTAGTTGATGTTTAGTACCTACTGATGATTATCAAAAGCATTAAAAAAATGCTTATTTACCTTTTATCGTCCAAGAAAAAAAAAATAAAAAATAAAAAACCTACTTTTCACAATCGACGAGGGGCTGCGATTTGATTGGTCTATGGTCCACGTTGAGGAAAACAAAGCCCCAGCCAATAGAAATACGACGATGACAATCCACTATGAGTGCGGTTACAGGTACGGTCCCATGTACGGTTGCCCGCCAGAAAGATGCCACAAGCTCTATGTTTATTGGACCGTGCTTTTCACGTGCTAATACTCGTTAGTCGTGTATAACGTACAGTTCTTTTCTTTTCTTTTCTTTTTTTTTTTTTTTTTTTTGCGCGCCAATGTTCTCTAGCCGATTCCAGCCAAAGCACTCGTGCCCTGAAACAAAGGCTTTCTCTTCCCAGTCAAAATCTGGTCAGTAGTCACTAGTCATTCTTTAATTTTTTGAAAATAAAGAAAATAATAAAAAAAGCAGACTTTTATAAGTTTCAAATAATAATAATAATCAACCTTTCGTAACAGACTGTATGCATAATTTATGAGCCCTTCTTATTTAAAAAATAAATAAAAATAAAAAAATTATGGGTCTTTCTTGTCAAAGAAAAAAGCTTCTACAATCTCGCCAAATTTGTAGTATACAGAAGATTCATACTTTACCCGATACACCCATTTCGCTCCAATCTACAACTGTCAAAGCAGGATCGTTATTTTTTCCCGCTAAATTGTCGCCCCCTGTTATCTCCATCTCCACATCTTCCTCTGTTTCAAGTCATCGTGGTCAACCAACCACGTTCTCTCTCTCTCTCTCTCTCTCTCTCTCTCTAAATCTTGGATACGGGTTTTCCTTAAATTTCCCTGTTGGGATGCAAACGGAGGAAGCTTTGACAAAGATGGAAAACGACTCTCTTTCCAGCCTCCATTCCCGAGAAAGTGAGACCTCTTTGGATGAAGACTCATTCAATATCAGCTTTAGGCAGTACTGTACTACTTCAGTGGAAGAAGAAGAAGAGTATGTGGAAATCCTCATGGAGAGAGAAACCGAGTTTGGGTTCAAAAAAGATCTGTCTTTTGTGTTTGGTAACTTTGTCAAATGTCATCGCTTAGAAGCAATCGCTTGGATTCTCAAAGTATTAATAATTTAGTTTTAACCCCATTTCTTGTTTTCTTTCATTTGAGCTACGTTTATATCACAGTTCTTTGCTAAAAACTAACTCATTACTTTGATTGGTTTTTTTTTATTATTATTTTATTTTTCTAAAAATCAATCTAGGCCAGAGCAATCTTCGGATTTCAATTCCAAACTGCGTATTTGTCCATGACATATTTTGATCGATTTCTTATGAGGAGGCCTATCAGTGTAAGTTTCTTTTTTTTTTTATTCACTTCTCAAAATGACTAATTTTTCTTCTATTTTCTTTGTTTGGCTGGATCTTGATCTTGTTGATTAACTAATCGATTTTTTTTTTTTTTTGGTGCAGGATGAAGAAATGTGGTTGATTAGATTACTGCCCGTGGCATGCCTTGCTTTGGCTGCAAAAATGGAGGAAGCGGAAATTCCGTCGCTATCGGATTTTCGATTCGAAGATGATGATTTCGGAATCAATTTGATCGGAAAAATGGAGCTTTTTGTATTGAGCACGTTGGAGTGGAAGATGAATTCAATCACTCCTTTCGCTTTTCTTCATTACTTCATCACAAGGCTATGCCAATTACAATCTCCCCCAACTAACATACTTTCTCGGACTACAGCACTCATAATGGCTACAATCAGGGGTATTAATTTCGCAAATATTTCCATTAAATTTATTTGTGTTGCTCGATTCTAATGAGTTTTAAAAGGCATTAATAACTTTTGGTTTATCATGTAGAAACCAATATAATGGAGCATAGACCGTCTGTCATAGCCGCCGCGGCAACCTTGGTGGCATTGGAGCAGAAATTATCAAGAACGTCACTGGAATCCAAGATGAATTCCATTTCTCATTGTAAATCTCTCCAAGTTGTGAGTGATTTTATGCTTTTTTACTTCTTTTTTTTTTTTTTTTTTGAAAAAAATTACAAATATGAAAAATAGAGTTGGCCTTTCTTTTTGCCACAGGAAGACGTATTTTCATGCTACAATATAATACGAGAGCTAAAGATTTATAAAGAATCGTCACATTTATCAATGATCAATGATGTTATGGAAACTTCTTCAGTAACAACTGCCTTTAGCAGTGACAGGAAAAGGCTTGGGCCAAGGTGTTGCGGTCAATATTATTATGGCCAGAAGCGGCTTCGGTAGAGTAATATGGAAAAAGAAAAAGAATGAACCGATTGCCAAAGTATTGTTTGTGGCTTTTTTGTGATATAATGTGATTATAGAGTTCTAGAGAGGAATCTTTAACTACTATTTCAGACTGGCATCTCAATAACAATCACAGAAAAAAAAAAAAAAAAAAAAAAAAAAAAAAAAAAAAGAAGAAGGAAAAGGAAACAAAAAAGGAAAGGAAAAAGGAGGAAAAAGAAAAATAAAAGCAGAGCTGATATGGGGCTTCTTATAAAAGCTGATTATACAGTTAGTGAACAAAGTCAAGGTTGGAAAAATGGCCAGAGAAGAGAGATCTACAAATAGAGTGGTTTGTGTAGCAACTCTTACACTCACTTCCTCTTTTCACTTGTTCAATTGGTTATTTGATTTTTTTTTTTTTTTTTTTTGTTACTCTTTACCTCATCATTCATTCTTGAAATTTCTTTTTTTTATTATTTTTTTATTTTTTCATTTATTTTGGAGATACTTATTTGTTTTCTCTTTTTTCTCCCTCTCTTATTGTGAAGAGGGGTAAAGGAGTGTCTGCTTTTGTGACATCTCTTACAAAGCCTATACTTTTGATGGGATTTGGTTTCTTGGTGTCTTCGCAAAGGGTGAAAGCAATGTTGAAGCTCTGTCTGTGTGATTTAATGGATATGTATCGGATGTTGGCCATCAAATCAAAAAAAAAGAGAGAAAATAAATTTATGTATTTTAAAAAAGAAAAAAAAAAAGAGAGAGTTTGTAAAGATGATTGTGACTTCATATTGGTTTGAAAGTTTGGGGGATATGGCCGAGTAAGGCGATCACTAGCTTTGCTGTGTTCGTGGAATCAAAACGGAATTTCTATGTTGATCACGCTTTTTTATGGAAAGAGATTTTGAGTGCTGTGGATAGATTTTTCCATGCAAATTTTGTTCGTACGTTGACCTTACATGTTGGAAAGAGATACTTTATATTATCAACTTCAAGTCAATGATCCGTAACATGGAAATCTACAATTATCCTTTTTAGTTTTTACCATAGTGACCGCCAAGGGGAAAAAATGGTGAAAAATAATATCATGAAAGTTACCTTTACCCAACTTCAAATTTAGTTTACCATATTGTCTCCAATGATGCTTCCATTTACTAAGTTGTACGTGAAGTGCAGATTTTTTTTTTCCCCTTTTCTGTTGGTATTCTTTCCTGAAAAGAAAATGCTTTAGTAGGGCACCAAAAAAATTTCGGTACATTTCGTTAAATTTGCATAATCTTTTGATTTTGTTATAATTCTGATGCATTGATATAAAGAAACACATAGTACAACGTAGTATTAATAGAGATGCCCTACTCGAAAACTCCTATAAATATCTTCAAACCTTTGGAAAAACATATCTTTATATTAAAAAGAAAAAGAAAAAGAAAAGGAAAAAGCAAAGGTAAAGAAAAGAAACTTATGCTTCGGAAAAGTTTTTCACTTTTGAACTTTGCTGTTGCTAACGCACATGCTCGTGGCGGCAATAAAGCTTCTACAACTGCAGACAATAGAACCGCTACGACACAGTTCTCCAGTTTTCCAGATCAAAACTGGGATGAAAAATAGAAAAGAACAAAAAAATTTGTTATTTTCCTTTTGGGATATTTGGCTTAAGGAAGGCCAAGATCTCACCAGGTTGGAATGTCGTTTTCTTGGCCCCTCTTTTTATAACACCAAAAAAAAAAGGGTAAAACTTTGCTGTGTGACCAAGACTTGGCCAAGTGCTAGGTCCCTTTTCCCCGGCACCTGTGTCCGCTAAGAAATGGCATATATACGACTGCAGCCAAAATTTCACATCGTATCCAAATTAACTCTGCACGGGTTTTCGTTTGCCGTATGTGGGCTATGCCAACTATCCCAAAACTATCCTCTCAAAAGTCTTTTCACATTACATTATGGCAAGTGTGAATTTTGTTGGAGTTGAGATTGTTGATTCCTACTAACCAATCAAACAAGTCATCTGCTGGCGTATAATATGCAGTACAGTACCAGAAATTTTTACCGTTTCCAATTTGCCCGTGAACCTCACGCACCTACTCTTGCAATATAAACGTGACGATAAAAAACTATCCCTTCAGTTTACGTTTAAGTCAACAATTTTGATTTATTGGCAGAAATTTTATGAGAAAAAAGTTGTTAAATTCAATTTTTTGAGACAAAAAATACTATGGCAGGATCATTAGAATAATGAGTTTGAGCATAAGAGGACTAAACATGGCCTATAAGCTACTCTGGTGAGACTAAAAAAAATAAACTCCCGACAGTTTTATTATTTTCAGCCGTTAAATCTATATCAAAAGCTGTTAATTTTACATATTTTTTTCTATCTAATGTAATTTTCACTTGATCTAACAATCAAAAACTAACAATACTAATAGAACCGTTGTACTGTGAGAAACACCCTAAAAAACTGGCGCCTTTCTTTGTGGTTTCATCTCAGGTCCTATCCCTTGATGGGGTACTTCTGCAGAAAGCATTAATGAGCGAGCAGGCTAAGAAGTTACAAATACAACATGAAAATTTTTACGTGTATGTGTATACAAAACCATATTATTTCCAGCTGGACTATGGCATGGCATGTGCATAATTTCCAAGAGGTGGGTGGCGGATAAGAATTAATAACATAACCATATATGATAATCAGACAAGAGCTACAATTCACGAACCCAAAATTAAAATCCTCCTACAAAACGTACGAGTTGTCAATGCAATCGGCTTGATTAAGTAGAATAAATTCTACTTATTTGGTTCATAAGTTAAAAATCATAATTTATGATTTTAATTTTTAAAATTTATATTTTTTATGAGAAAAAAATACTGTAAAAAATTAAAAGTTATAATTCAAAATTAAGGGTGAACCCTTAAAACAAACATTTCATTAGTTTCGCTTGCCTTTACTTTACATCAGCATAATGCATAATCACAAATCATCCCGATAAGGTAAAGAACTAACAAAAGTTTAGCCTCCATTTTTAGTATGGGAAGCTGAATGACTGAAACAACTCTTTGATGTGTAAAGAATCAGTTTGATAAGCTTGTGACATTTGACAACATCGCAAAAGTATTTTCTGACATAAACAAAAGCAATTCTAATTTTTTCTTTCTCAAGCAGAAAACCCTAGTACGAACGGAGTCAACTTAGCATTTGGCAAAGTTCTACAGGAAGAGGGGTTTTTTTTTCCCCCTTTTACCTTTTCTGGCTGGTAGTTAAAAATCTTCCATAATAGAGTGCTAATACTAAAAAGCTTTGTTGTTTTAGAAAAGAAAAAAAAAAAATGTTTCCTGTGAGAGTGGTGGAATTGGAACAATAATTTGTAGGCGTTTTTAAAGTTTTCCTCGGCAGATTAAAGCTTTCCCCATAGACTCACATCTTTGAGAAGTAGCTGAAATGATTTTGTATATTGCCAAATGCCTCAAGGTTTGTACAAAAAAACTTCAAATCAGCGACAATTCACGCTTTTCCAAACGCACATTTAATGCAGGAAGCTCAAATCTAGTTAGTGAAAACTTCAATAGCGCCTCAAATTATGTCCACACCAACCAAGCAACAAACAACTTTGTAGTATCAGTCACCTTCTTTCTTTTCTTTTCTTTTTCTCTTTTTTCTTTTTTGCCCTTTTTTCTTTTCAGGCTTGGTTTTGGGGGAAAGGCACCGTTAAAAGCCATCCATTAACAGCTAATGCCAAAAGGACGGACCCTCAACTCAGATGTACTTATTTGCCTCGTGGTATGTTAGATCCTACTGGAATCATCTTTAGTGCTGCTGCAACTGGCATGCCAAGGAATCCGAGGAAAATGCTGACAATCCACTGTTGTAAACTGAGAGGATGTGTGCTTGCAAATGTACCAAGAAACTCGACGATTATGATTTGGAAGATAACAGTGCAACTGATCACAGCCACAAACACATAATTGTTCAGGATTCCTTTGAACACATTTACCTTCTCCATCTCCCTAGAGCTGATCTCATTGAAAACCTGGAGAAGACATATTAGGACTCAAATGTAAGTTTAGAATTCATTTAAATAAAATACCACGGATTGGTGTGGTTGAGATTGGCAAACCAACTTATCTTAAATATTTTAACTTTTTTATATTCAGAATCAGAATAATAGAAGTTAAGAAAAATAACTGATAGGCTGACACTGAATTGGTAAGGCCGGCATGTTAGACATTATTGCTTTTGAGAGTGGGAAAAATAATAATCAGGATTTTAATCCATTACTATGACATCAAGCTTTTTCGTGGGGGATTCAAGCTGCAACAACAATTAGGATATCTAGTCTTTCACTTAACAAATTCCTAGTAGAAAGAGCTACTCATTGTTAGGATATATTGGGCTTCCATCGGGTTTTTATTGAGGTTCCTAATCCTAACTATTAACGATGGAAACACGTTTTCATGGAGTCAAAATCTCAGCATTCAATGATTACCTGACAGAATACGAAGGAGTTGAAAATGAGTGTATTCAGTATCAAATCAGAATCCGGGCCACTAAGCTGAAAAGCTGCTTTTCCTCTTGTCTGTAGGTACCATATTATTAAGAATTGATACAAGGACTGCCCCAGGACATTCCTCCACATCACATTACTGATGAAGTTTCCTTTTCTTCCAACGGGCAATCTCTTCATCAAGTCATTGTTTGGAGGTTCTGTGGCCAACGCAAGCGCTCCTAGGGTGTCCATGATCATGTTGACCCAAAGAAGCTGAACAGAGCATTCCCTGAGAGCATGTGTCAACGCAGATGCATAATGAGAAGCATAAAACGTGATTTAAAAGGGGAAAACACTATCACATGGAAAGAGAAACGAACATGATTTGCTCACCTGTCAAACAAGCAGAAGAAAAGTTGACGATAAGGGCAACCACATTTACCGTTAGTTGGAACTGAACAAACTTTTGAATATTTATGTAAACTGAGCGTCCCCATTTGGCCACAGTCACAATTGTGGAGAAGTTATCATCCAGAATTATCACATCGGCACTTTCTTTGGCAACCTGAAATGTTTTCAAAGTGCTTTAAGAACAACTAAAGTCAAGTAAAAGATTCAAACTTATCTAGAAAACGATAACAAATAAATGAACTGGGACTTGAAGTCCATAGAGAGAAGAAAAAAGGTGCGCAAGAATAGATATACACGTAGACACAAGGAATGGAGTTTAAGCCTATAACTCGAGGGCAAATAAATGAGCTGGGGTTCATTATTGGTTTTATAGAAAATCTAAAAGGTAGGAGCGGAACTCAGGCATTAGGAGATCAAAAGCATCAAGGAATGGAGTTTAAGCCTATAACTCGAGGGCAAACCATTTTAGACTTGAATTTCTGAACTTTCTGGCCTAAATGCTCAACCTCAAAAGAGCGTAAAAAATAGACTATTGAAAATTTCATTATGCCCCCCGCCAAGATGCGTACAAACTAAGACTAAGCAAGAATTTAAATTTGATTAAAAAAATTAAAATAATAAATTTGATTAAAAAAAATTAAAATAATCAGCGAATAAGATCACAAGAAAAGTGATCACCTCAGTTCCAGCAATGCCCATTGCTAGCCCAATGTCAGCTTCATGAAGTGCAGGAGCATCATTTGTACCATCTCCAGTCACTGCAACAACTTCTTCAAAAGTGGTCCTCAATTGTTTGACCAGGGTGTGTTTATCTAATGGTGAAGATCGAGCCATAACCTGTAACACCAAATCACATCGTGGTATATAGAAAATGTCTATAAACTAGAAGCCCAAATTCGTACAGATTATAAGGGCCAAAGGATTCATCACGTTTATTACTATTGTTAGCAAAATCCTTTGCAATCCTTTGCAATAATAAGCAAGCTTCGGCGTTATAAGTTCAATCTGTCCACCAAATCTAAAGTCTAGCACACTTTAGGAATTTGAATGGATTTAGCCCCCGGTATCTATGTAAAAAAACGTAGGAGGCAATTCAGCACAACTCCTTTATTCTTGTCCCCATCTTTAAGAATAAATGAGATGTGTTGAATTATAACAATTATAAGGGCATAAAGTTAATAAGCCACACTATAAAACTTTGAGAGAGAATTATTGAAAGGAAATTAAGAGCCACATCTACCATCTCAGGTAACCAATTTGGCTTCATGCCAAACAGATCAACCACAAAAGCCATTTTTCTTCTTAGGATGCTGAATGAAATGTACAAAGAAGCTAAGACGGACCTACACATGGTCTTTATAGATTTAGAAAAGGCATATGATAAGATACCGAGGGAAGTTTTATAGTGGGTGCTAGAAAAGAGAGGAGTGCATGTGAGGTATATCAAGATAATTAAGGACATGTACGATGGGGTGGTCACGAGTGTGAGAACTGCTAGAGGCTACATGGCAGAGTTTTGGATCGGCCTTCATCAAAGATCTGCTCTTAGTTCTTATCTTTTCACCATTGTGATGGAGGAGCTGACAAGAGAAATCCAAGATAGAGTTTCTTGGTGTATGTTTTTTGCAGACGATATAGTTTTAGTTGATGAACATAGAGAATGAGTTAACCGTAAATTAGAATTGTAGAGATAGATTCTCAAGGCGAAGGGATTTAAGTTAAGTAGGATGAAAAATGAATACATGCATTGTAGGTTTAGTAACTCAAGTAATCAGAGTGATGAAATTTTTTTAGGAAGTTTAAATACCTTGGGTCTATATTGCAGTACGAATGAGATATATAATAGGATGTTCAACATAGGATTAAGGCATGGTGGGTTAAGTGGAAGAATGCTACGGAAGTTTAAGTGGAAGAATGCTACGGAAGTTTCATATGATGGCAAGATGCCTATTAAGTTGAAAGGAAAGTTCTATAGGACTGCAATCCGCTAAGCTATGTTGTATGGTAATGAATGTTGGGCCATTAAGAGACAACATATATCTAAGATGAGTGTGACAGAAATACGTATGTTAAGATAGATGAGTGGCCATACGAGAATGGATCGCATAAGGAATGAAGTTATTCGTAATAAAGTAGGTGTAGCACCAACAGAAGATAAGGTGTGCGAAGACCGCTTGAGGTGGTACGGACATGTTTAACGTAGGCCGCTAGAAGCACCAGATCATGCTTGGAATGACATTCTTATACCTAATACTAGGAGAGGGGGGGGTACTAGAAGCACCAGATCATGCTTGGAAGGACATTCTTATACCTAATACTAGGAGAGGGGGGGGTAGACCAAGAATTACGTGGACCGCAATAGTTAGGAAAGACATTTTAGATCTAGGCCTTGAAAGTCTAATTTCGAACAGAACTACGTGAAAAAGTGAAATCTATATAGCCGATCCCAATTAAGTTGGGATTAAGACTTGCTGTTGTTGTTGTTGTTTCCGAAATCATTAACATGTCAACGTCCATTGGTCTTGTAAAACCATTCACAAAAACTTACTATATTTCTAATGAACAGCTTAATTAAAAAAAATGCACCTGAATTTTTGGAATAATTTCTCGCATTTCCTCTTCACTCTTCTCGCGAAATTCTGGTCCTTCAATTGCCAAACCATTCTCAGTCAAAATTCCACACTCTCTTGCTATTGCTTTTGCAGTGTTTATGTTGTCTCCGGTAACCATCCTAACTGTTATACCAGCTGACCTACAGATGGCAACAGATTCCCTGACCCCAGGACGAACTGGATCTTTAATTCCCACAATTCCTATGCAAGTGTATCCTCTGGTAGGAATAGGGTTTTCAGCAGAGAACTCACTTTCAATTTCCATGTAAGCAAGGCAAAGAGTCCGAAGAGCTTCATTAGCAAATTGTTCGATAGTATTTTCCAACCTATTAACGTATTCTTTGTCAAGGGGAACAACCTCACCTTTCGAATCTATGACTTTGTCACATGCAGCTAAAATTATCTCAGAAGCACCTTTACAATGCACTCGGAAACCACCTTCAGCTTCAGGAAGTTCTAGAACTACCCCCATCCGCTTCCTCACTGAATTGAAAGGTTCAACTTTCACAATATGACATGCCTGTCGTTCTACTTGGAAATCACCACCAAGCTGCAGCCCAAATTCCAAAATAGCCATTTCAGTGGGTGTTCCCAATATCTCATTCTTGTCATCTTTGTTTTTCACCACTTCTCCTCCAGTGTTATTAAATATTGATTGAAGTAGGATTCTCAAAGCAGAATCTGGAATTTCGGAGCAGAAGTTAGAAGCGTCCTTAGAGCTGCCTACTTCCTTGGTCTTTCCACAAATGCAAGCTTTAACGACAGTCATGTGGTTTGTTGTCAATGTCCCAGTCTTGTCACTGCATATAGTAGTAGAAGATCCCATAGTCTCACAAGCAGCCAAATTCCGAACAAGTGCCTTATCATTCATCATCTTCTTCATGGCAAAAGCGAGGCTCAATGTCACAGCCAAAGGTAGCCCCTCCGGAACAGCAACGACAACAATTGTAACAGCAATAGCAAAGAATTCTAGAATTTCCATTGCATCATCCCCCGACCAGATCCACTGGGACCCTTCTTGCAGCTTGCGGGTAAACAATCCTTGCACCAAAACAGCAAAAGTCACAAGAGCAAAAAATAGACCAATCTTTCCAATTATGGTTGCCACACCATTGAGTTTCACCTGCAAGGGGGTTTCATCATTTCCTCCTTCACTGAGAGTAGCCATCAACTTTCCCCACTGGGTCCTCATCCCAACAGTAGTCACAAGCATCTTGCATGACCCATCCTGTACTTTAGTTCCAGAGAGAAGAAAAGGATTCTGAGAATTGACATTAACTGGCTCACTCTCACCTGTTAAACTGGACTCATTTATAATCACAGAAAACCCTGATATGAAGAGTCCATCAGCTGGGACTTGATCTCCAATACTTAGATGAACTATGTCACCAGGAAGTAGATCATAAATTGATATCTTCTGCCTGCACTCATCTCTAGTAACCTGAACTGTAATTTTTTTCTTCTCCCTGTCCAAATCCTTAAACTGCAGAGATTGTCTATAGTCGCTCGTGGCTGTAACAAAAACAACAAGCAAAATGCTGGCAACAATTCCAAGCCCATCATGAGCACCCTTTGGCCATCCTTCCGTTGCTAGACCGACAACCAGAGAAACGAAGGCACAAAAGGCAAGTATCATCAGGGTCATATCCTGAAGGGCTTCCCACACAAAAGTCAAGAAACCCTTGACCGGGCTTTCAGTGAATTTGTTAATACCATAAATTTCTTTCCTTTTACTCAGCAGTTCCTCAGAAGTAGAGATTCCACTGGTTATTGATGTAGCAACCTTGCTAGAAATTCCCTCAACTCCACCGTGAATTTTCAGCTTCTTCACGTCACGCCCTTCGACCACAGATCCCAATTCATCAGCACAGATTTGAAAACCCGCATCTTTGACTTCCTCAGGTACAGTGTATTCACTAGTCAAAGTCAGGCCTATAAAATCAAAGGTGGAGCAACAATTTAAAAACAGAAACAATTAACAAAAAGACAGAATCCTTTGCTGCAAAGTTTAATCGGCTTCTTTAATATATTCATACCATGAATAAATTGTAGTGCTGCTTGTGAAACCAAAACTGCAACTCGAAACTTCTCCTATCAAATTCAACACGGGAAGAAAATAGCAACCATGTTACCAACATGAAATATAGACACACACACACACACACACATATTGTAAGTTAAGTATGGCAGGTTGGTTAAGATTTCTCATCATACAACGTTTTATCCATTCTAATATAGGCTAGACTGTAATTTCAGACCATGTAACCATCATACAGATGCCAGATTTGCAAACCGTGCGATTTGGATAGTGATTATCATGATGGTTCTACCATTACATCTTATCAATCGACCTAGAACATTCCGGAACTGGCTAAGCAACTTAAATCAATTGGAAATGCATAACATTTACGCATCATTAAAATTAAAATGAAAAAAAAATGTTTCACTACACATTATGAAACTACTAGATTTCAGTACGAAACATCATGCCGATATGCATGATACAATATTTCATATGGGTATTGCTTATCATTATGTCTAACATTTACGATGCTTGAGTGAAATCGCTAAAACAACTGGACTCACAGCACGCCGGCTGCCCTGACCACCCCGAATTCCACTTCAAAATATATAATCTCAAAATATAACTTCAGGGCTCTTTTATTTTTTATTTTTTGAAATTAGCTTCTTTTATTTTTAACTAATTGGTAAGTTCTCTGTGGCAATTATTTTAAAAATAAATAAATAATGGAATGGAAGAATTAAGTTCAGGTTCAGATCGTCCACAATCTTCTCTCATTTTGCTAACAATCATCAGAATATATGTATCGAAATAGAAGATATGAAGAAAAACAATGAAGCTTTAAACTAACATTGGAGAACGTGATCCGATCTGGGACAAGCCCAAAAAAGTGGATTTTGATATGAAACGCATATCTACAGGCAATGATTTGAGGCTCGGATTGATTGCATAGGAAGAAGAAAAATAAAAAGGAAAAGAAAAGGAGGTCCAATAATTTGATCCAAATCCATTAATCCTTTACCAATAAAGTAGGTATTTAAAATCACAAGCAACTGATTCCACAAGAAAAGGAGACATAATTAAATTAATCGTTCAGGTCAAACAAGTACATATCAACGACAACCGATTCAAAGAGGAGAAGTTTTCGTAGATCACAGAGAGAGAGGAAAAAGAGGGAGAAAAAAAAACTCTGTTTTGGATTGCTAAAAATGCAATAAGATAAAGTTTGGAATTATTATTATTATTATTATTATTTCTCGTTATTTCGGAGAAAAACACTTTAAACCCTATCTTGACCCAGTCCACGCTAGCAAACTTGTACCCTTTTTTTTTGGCGATAGGAGTAACCAGAACATTTAAATAGGACAATCTCCGCTCCTTCAAGGTATAATTTTCTCAAGAAACAAACAGATAATAAAAGGTTTAAGCATAGGAAAGAACCTGATTAGATCGGCGTATAGCCTCGGCCTCATTGCGCTTGTCGAGATTAGCAGTGAAACGGAAACGGCGTTTCCGATTCTTCACAACCCAACAGAGTTTCCTCCATCTCTGAAGCGCTTCCTCCGACGAGTTCTTCGCCTTCACATCCCCAAAGTTCTCGTTCAAATAGCTCTCCATCAAATCTCCCTTCACCAAAACCAACACAACATATACACAACGATCGAAGACAACCTAAAATAGCAACCCAAAAAAAAAAAAAAAGAGGAAGAAGATGAAATTCGTTCCAAAAAAACAGTTCTAGTCTCTGATCTGGACTTGGAACAAGAATCTCTTTATTCCGTTGTGCTACCAGACATCATTCTTTTGACCAAAAAAAAAAAACGATTCGATTACAAGACTGGAATTTCTTCCTTCCAAATCTCTTTATCTCTTTCTTAGGGTTGAAGTTTTAGCTCTGGTCTGTGCGAATCAAGACAAGGATGAGAGTTGACAAATTCACGAACCGAGATACCTAATCTACTACCTTTCTTTTTCTAGTTAGCAAATAAATTATTACTGATTAGTAATTGCTGGAGTTGTTGAGTTTTTTTTATTTTTTAAGATATTTTTAATTAAAAATATGTTGTTCGGATTGACGCGTGATTGGTTGGAGAAAACGTGCCCATGTGGGGGGGGCTACAAGGGGCCAATTGGTGACTGACCGTTGGTAATAGAACGTGGGTCCATTATATGCCCTTTTCTTCGGTGTTATGAAACAATGTGCACTTTTTGAAAAAAAAAATGTTGGTACAATAGCAATCTTTATTTTTCTCTCCAAAAAAAAAAACACATTATTCTTTTGTTTTTCCAAATTTTCTACCTTTGTCATTGTCTTAGTACTAAAAAAAGTATGGGCCGGTTCCTTAATTTAAATTTTTAATTTAAGTTAAAATATTATTTTATATAAAAAAATTTTATTATAATAAAAATATTAAATGTGATTATTTTTAAAAAAAATTTTACTGTATTAAAATTTAAATTTTAAATTTGAATTAATAAAATAAACGGGTAATAAACCTAAATTCGAAAATGTTCTTATTTAACCATAATTATTTTTATTAAGAGATGAAACACGCCAACTCAGCCATCAAGAGATAATGATTTGAACTTTTTTTTTTTTTTAGACAGGGTTGCGTTTGATTAGAGAGATTCGGAGAAGGAAGAAAAAGTAATAAGGAATCCCTAGTTCACTATTAGTAGTAGTAGTAGTAGTATCACCACAAATAACGTTTTATTAAAGTCTCGTTTATTTTAGAGATTTAAGTTTTCAATTTTAATATTTTAAAGTTAAAAATTTTAAAAAAATATCACATTTAATTTTTTTATTATAATTAAAAATTTTAAAAAAATATTATATCTCAATTCGAATTAAAAATTTAAATTTACAAAACGAATAAGGCCTATAACTCTCTCATGTACCACTCAAAAATAGTTTCCAAACTAATGAGGTTGAGATTGTGTCTTTTATAGGTTTGTCAATTGTGGCTTGGACTTTGATGACTTTGGACTTTTTGGATATTAGATAATGAAATCATGGATTAGATACCTTTCACTTATGATTCTACTAGTTTATTAAGATGGTCGTTGGGTTAAGAGCGTGAGGGCTAATCTCCTTTTTATTAGCAAAAAAAAAAAAAAAAATTTGTTCAACTGGGATGATTATGTTAGGGAATAAGTGAATCCTTAGACCGCATTATTTTGTGCGTGTTTGAAACTATTTTTAAAACGATTTTCACATATTTTAAGAAATAAAAAATTAAAATGAAAACGAAACGGTGTTTTGTTTAACAGATGTTTTGAAAACGAAAACAGTTAGAATGATTTTTGTGAAGGAATTAAAAAATAGTTGAAAGTTGTTTTCATTTTTTTATTTTCATTTTTAATACGTATCAATAATATTATAATATATTAATTAATAAACACAATTTTACTATTTTATTATACTCAAAACAATCTCTTAAAAAATTAACTAAATACAATTTTAAAATCAGTCTCAAAATAATTCTAAAAACAATCTTATTTTTATTTTTTATTGAAAATAAAATCATTTTAAAATTAAATCCAAACGCTTTCTAATCCTCCTATAAATGGACAAAAAGGAGAGGAGAGCTCATTAATATGCATACTTCATTACATTTTCGCCTTCTCATCTAATTTGTATTTGTATTTTTGTTTTTTCTTTTTTTAATAAAAGGAACCTTTGTGTGTCTATTAATTTACTGAACAGAATCCCTAAATATTGATTTAGTATGTGATATATGCGCAATGGAGTAATTTTATTAAAAATATATAATCATTATTTCTACTTTTCTATCTTAAATCAAACAAAATAATAGTAGTGAGATTGTTCATTCTTCTCAATAATTAGTTTTACTACGATGATCAAAATATAACCATTTTACTCTCATAATTTTATTTTTATAGAGTTATTTAAATACGTCATCTTCTACTTTTATAACTATCTTTTTATTTTTAACTCTTGTGTATAAATTAATATGGTTAAGAAAAAACAAACAAATCAAAAAATATATAGAGGTATCTTCCTTCCCTTCTACCATATCAAACAACTGCATAGAAAACGAACGAATTTATCTTTCCCACTTTTTTTTTTTTTTTTTCATTTCTTATCCTTCCTTCCATTCTACCTTTCTCATACCAAATTGGCAAACACTCCCACGCTTGTAGTGCTTACGAAGCTACTTTCTAATCGTTCAAAGTTGAAACATTTGTTGGAGAGATCAGATATGCATTAGTTGTTGTTGTTCCTGATCATGCCACAAGTCATACCATATCTTATCCTCCACACGTCTTGACAAGCAACCAATTCTTGCGCAATTTACAAACTCATACATTTTTTTTTTCTCTCTCTTGCCGTTTTATCTTTTCTTCTGAAAAAGCAACGGGACCCAGCATTTTTTTTTTTTTTTTTTTTTTGGTGTCTGTGTTTGACTGTTTAGGCGTAGCAGTCCAAGAGTTGGGCACTGGCCCTCATTTGAATTGTAGCAAAAGGCTGTTCAAATTAGTAGTGCCATTGAATAGATACATAAATTGGTTAGTGAGAATTAAGAAATGTCTCGTATATAAGGCCAGCAAGTAATGCTAAAATTTTGTTAGTTTAAAAGTAGTACTACTAAAAAAGACGTTTCCCTAGATTTCCGAGTATATGTTTGCTGGCCAGAGAATAACTCAGAGGATTATTATCATTAATGTCCTTTAAATTTTAAAGTCATTCTCATTTTATCTTTTGAACTTTAAATTATTTTCACTCAGCTTTCTTTATTGTAATTTCTATTAAAAATAATAAAAAAAAATAACACAGTCACATAGTCTTTCTGTGTAAGTTTCTATATAAAAGAAACAGATAAAACCACACGATTACACTTCACCCTAAAATTCAGAATTTTAGAGACAAAGTGAGAATTTTTAAAATTTAAAATGTAAACTGAGAATGACCTTAAAATTTAAAAACACCCGTGAAAATAATCTATAACTTAATATCGAATAGACAACTATGGATCCAAACTATAAAAGGCTTTACGGTGAATAAGAATAGATCCGATCACAAAGACCGGTATAGATTCGATCACAGAGATGGGTCTACTAAATACTCAACTTGTTAGAAGAAATTTTCTTGTGGAGCAATAATTTATGCAGAAATTAATCAAGTCAGTGCTCTGCCCTGAGCGGCGCGTCACGCCCTGCTTCCTTGTTGTGAAGTTTTTTGTATTCCAATGAAAAATCACTAGTAGTCTACTAAACTACTATCGGTAGCATGGTAGGCCACCGTTGGTATACGGTAACAGCCATAAAATATAGTAAGATATTGAAATACTTTTAGTATCACTGTAGACTATCTTTAATGTCATGACAGGATATCATCAGTACCACAATAGAAGTACCGTTACAACATAGGTTCGTACTCAGTAGCGTTTGGTATGAAGATTTAAGAATCAGAACTATAATTTTAGTTTAAACATTTGTTTGTTTATAAAAAGTAAAAAATAGTTCTTAAAAATTAGTGTTTAATTTAGATGGTTTTAGTTTAAAATTTAAATTTTGATGTGATGTTTTAAATCATAATCACCCTAAAAAATAAAACCACATCTTCTTTGATTTTGGATGGTTCAAACCTCTAACCATACATTTAGTTCATAGATTCAAAACCATGATTCATGATTCTCTTTTTTTAAATTTAAATTTTTTGTGAGAGAAAAACTCTGTAAAGAACCAAGAACCGTGATTCAGAACCAAGAAGAAACCCTTGAAACAAACAATTTTTTAAATTTAAATTTTTTGTGAGAGAAAAACACTGTAGAGAACCAAGAACCGTGATTCAGAACCAAGAAGAAACCCTTGAAACAAACATCCCATAATTCTTATTCCGGTTCCATAACTATAGTTTGGATCCCAACTTCAAACTATAAATCACGATTCTAGTTCTAAAACTGAAACTACCCTAATTTAAACCATCGTACTAGTTTATATGGATTCAGCAAAAAACTATTGCTTTATATGGTCTATTAAGAGTTTATTTTTTACATAGAAAAAATAACTCTCCATAAGTTTGTTCTTTTATTATGCGTCTGATTAATAAATGCTTTTTACAGACACCTTCTTAATTTTTTAAATTTAACAATTTGATCTTTATTCTTTTTTTTTTTGACAATTGACCCCTTAAACATAAAAATCTTGGCAAATACAATTTTACAATTTTGATTACGAGACACACATGTAGGCATTTATTGAGGACAGTAAAAATCATTTATCACCCTTGAAGCGTCTTTTAAAGACAATTAACTATTGAAAATAAAGTGTTGTTTATCAAAACTGATTATGTTCGGATATATTAGATTACTCTCTAACATCAATATAATTGAACAAATAGAGTGAGAAATGGTCTTTAACTCTCAACACACGCTCGCGTGCACATCACATGATCAGAATTGTCAAAAAAATAAACGTTATTTTCAATTAATCTTTAATTGTAAAGATTTTAAAATTGAAGTGGTTAATTACTAAAAAAAAAAAATAGAGATCAAATTGTTAAATTTAAAAAATTAAGACGGTGTTGTAAAAAAAAAAACAGTCAACAATAAATCACATAAAAATATGTGTGCGTGGATAGAAGGTAGATGACATCATGGAAAACGACCTTATCTTACAAAGTAAAAATCTAAAGTATGAAAAAAGACTCATTCGCAATAATGTTGCACGCATGCTGGTTAGTCTAATCCGATTTGAGATTTGTAAATTATAACTTAGATACTGCGGCGATGCCAAAATAGCAGTTATTGCCAAAATCACATTGTGATAGGCGACACAAACCAACTGGATACACATGTCCGTTGAATAATAACTTTACCGAAACTGATTTTGTTTTTTTGGCTAGAAATTATGAAAAACTGATTTTCACAAGTTTCTACTTGCTGCGGAAATAAAAATGTCACTATAATGAAAAAAAAAATACAAATAAAAATACGCGACTCACTTCATATTAATTGGAATTTGGAACTAGTTAAGCTCTGTGTTAAGC